GTGGGGGCACAGGCCCTGGGGAGCCTGGTGGGGAGAGATCCAGGCCGGTCAGGGCCCACCCCTTCCCAGGACTGAAAACAAAACCAGGTGTTTGTCCTGAAGCTGTTGGGGAAACTGGCGCCAGTCACCATGGCAATGCCCCACCCGGCCCCACCCCTTCCCCGCCCCCGAAGGAAGCCCTCTGGCTGCCCTTGCAGTGGGGCTGGTCTTGGCACAGCATCCTCCCCGGGGCCTGCCCCCTCTCCTACAGCGAAGGGGGCCGCGGGTCTGGCATGGGACTACTTCCGAGCCCCAGAGCGGTCCAGGCCACACTGGCCCCTGTAACGGGGAGCTCACTATCCGGCTCACCACTGGCCTTCGCTGATCGAGAACAGATGCGCAGGGACCCATCCTCGGGGGTCCTGTTGAATGTCCCCCCCCCCACAGTTGGACCTGGGGACCCTGGGCTCGGAAGGGGGTGGCCACCGCTGAGGAGCTTTGGGGATCAGAGAGACGGAGGCCAAGGTCACAGGTGGGCTCTGTGGCCACCTGTCGGCCCATCCTGGGGCAGCACCACCCCCGTGACCTGCACACCCTCTGCTTTCAAATTTCCCCACCCTCTGCACGGATTCCATGTCCGTCTGGGCCTGGCCCCGGTTCTGGTGTCCCAGGTCCGCAGCACATCCGCCGGAGACGGTGCAGCATGCAGGTTCAAATCCCGGCTGGCCACCCACGGGGCGCCAGGCCCCCACGCCATCGCTGTCGCTCACACTGCCCCCAGAGGGCTTGGGAAGGGCTGGTGTGTACAGGTGCCACGATCGGCTGCCCCATGGCACCCGGGCACCCCCTCCACGTGTTTCATGTGGCCACCTCAGCTCAAATACCTTCCACTTTCCTGGCAGGTAGGTGCGTGCAGCCCCTCTTAACGACAGGGCAACGGAGGCCCAGAGACAGGAGCTCAGCTGCTGAGGGTCACGTGCCCAGGACTGAAGCCCGAGCGGGCGCTGACAGCCCGTCCCACCAGTGGGAGCCCCCGGGGAGAGCCCGGGTGTGAGGGCCAGGCAGGAACATTCACACCACAGCTCCCCAACTCCCTGCTCCCAGCCCGGGGTCTGGAGCCAAGACTCCCAGACACCGGCCCTCCTTCCCTCTCTCAGCTGCTAGGCACACCCTACGAGCCCGGCTGGAACACCGAGCAGCCCCAAGCCAGGCCCCCACCTCCAGCCGTGGAGCGACGGGCAGCAAGAAGGCAGCGAGCCCAGGGTGCTGACCTGGCGGGAAGGTCAGGATCCAAGGTCCTAACTGGGCTGAGCTCCTGGTATCTGCTAGGCCTGTGGGGGCAAAGACCCCATGCTCAGGCCTGGCGCCGAGTGGGCAGGGGCAGGTCGTGTGCCGTCTGGGAGGTGATGTGACACCAAGTGGGGGGCTCCCCCCCCACACACATCCTCACTCCTGTGCGCTCCCTCGCCCACAAAGCTGGGACCCGGGGGGGCATGCACACCCCTATGGCACCCCTTCCCCCACACTTGACTCTGGCTGGGCGTCCAGGTGGCTGGGACCTCCATCCATCTCCCCACACGAGGAGCGGCGCAGCCGGTGGTCAGGGGCAGACTCTGGCCCCACGGCCCCCAGCACGCGCGTCTCAATCATGCCAGTACCGGCCCGAGCCCCAGAGCCTGCTACCGTCTTGTGCCTGTTTCCTGGCCTGTAACACAGAGACTGCGTGACCGGGAGCGGGCGCTCGGCGGGGCCGCGGGCAAGGAGGTAACAGCCAGCGTCCCAGGAGCCCCTTGCATGTGATGGCCAGAGCCCGCACACCGGCATCAGACCCCACCAGCCCTCCGCGTGTCTCGCACGCGGGCCCAGGCTCGTGGAACCACTGGTCATCTCCCCTCCTGCCACCATGGCCAATGCCGCAGTGACCGGCCTGCCCACGCCCACACAGGACGCCTGGGTCTTCGCTGCGCTCAGGAGGGCGGGCGGCATCTCAGGGCTTTTGGAGCTCCCGCACCCCCCACAGCAGAGCTGAGCCCCTGCCTCTCGCTCTTTTCCGTCGGGTGGCTGAAGCGTGTGCCAACGCAGTGAGGGGGCCAGGAGGGGAGGCCAGGCCGAGGTGGGCAGGGGCCCAGGCTGCATCGGGCCCTGAGCTCCCTTGGACCCGGACCTTAGGCCTAGAGATGGGCGAGCCTCCCTCTCTGCCTGCTGGGACCCCTCCCACACTCCGGTGCCAGGGGCTCTGTGTGCCGGCTGACGGGGAGCCCACCACCCACCTGCTGGGGATCCTGTGGCCCCAGGTGACATGATCCCAGCAGCCAGGCCGGCGCCCCCTCGGAGCCCGCCCTTCTCGGGGTGTCAGGGCCGCAGTGGGTGGGGGCTGAGACTGCCTGCGGGGAGTGGGCGGCAGGCCAGGGTCACGGGCCCTGGGCTAGGCACTGTGAGCCATGCGGGACAGGGATGTGAGAAACGACAGGATCTGGAGCCCGGGGGCCATCGCGGGCACAGGGCCGTTGGAGGCCAACCGCCAAGAGCCCAGCACCAGGGAGCAAGGGTGCCCGGGAAGGCGCTCGGGAGAAAGAACGAACACCAGCCTGCTCCACACAGGGAGGGGCACCGCGGCCGTCCCCATGCTGAGGCCAGGCCAGGCCGGGGCGCAGGGCCCTCTGGAGCGAGGGGAAGGAGCACGGGCCGGCCTGGCGTGCAGGCAACTCTCACCACGCCCAAGGGCCAGTCTCCCCCAGAGGCTGAGGCTGAGCCCCAGCCCACACCATCCCGCCTCCCCGCCGAGGCCCAGGGGCTTCGGGCCAAGTTTTTTTTTTTTTTTTTAGCTACAGCGCCCCCTGGTGGCCCCGCTGAGCAGAAGCGGGCAGGGGAGCTTGCTGGGGGCGGAGCCGGAGCCCGAGGCGGTAGGAGGGTAAGGTGGGGCAACACCGGGGCTGCTGGGAGCGCGGCGGGGTGGGGGGTGAGGCGCTAAGGCGGAGGGGGCCCTGGGGCTCCGTGGGAGGGGCCGACCTCATGGGGTACTGTCCCCCTCCCCCCCGCCCCATGCCCCCAGGTCAAATTCTCAGGCAGGGCTCCCACCCCAGCACTGCAGCTTCACTGGGGTGCCCCCCTCTTGTGGGTAGGACCGTCTAGGGTTAGGGCGCGGTTCAGCCGGCTTCTGCACGGCTGCCCACAGCCAAGGGTTCTGGGCCTGTGGCCCCTTCTGGGGTGGGGCGGGAGTTGGGTCTGCGGGAGCCCCCCAGCAAGCCCTGCCCAACCCAGGTGCCCAGGGGCTGTCACCTCCCTCTCCTGGCCGGCAGAGAGTGGGAGCAGAGAGGGGACCAGCGCGACAGCAGGGAGCAGGGGCTGAGGGCCGGGCCGGGCCAGCAGACGGGCTCCCCCTCCCGGGCCCTGCCCAATCCCCAGGCGACTCGAGGGAGGTGAACACCAGGCAGCCAGCACTCGGGGAATTCAGAACGTTTCATTTCAACCAGCCCCTTGCCGTGGCTCGCAGGGACATCAGCGTCTGCTCCCGTCATTGTGCAGGCAGGGAGCCACGGGCCGTGGGCACTGCTGCGGCGGCTCAGAGCCCTCCTCGCCCCAGAGGAGACCAGCAGGAGGCCAGCGGAGGGAGGCTGCCAGGCTGGCTCACATCACCGCTTCCATGTGCAGGATCCTCAGGGCCTCGGAGATCTGGACGCTGGTGTCCATCTGCCCGTACACGCCCACCAGGAAGGCCCGGTGCAGCAACACCGCCGCGTGCTCTGTATGACACGGGATGGACACGTCCGGGCCCCGATGAGCAGGTGGCTCCCGGAAGCAAGGCGTCTGGGCACCCCTGAGAGCCAGGCCTCGGGGAGCGAAGGCCTCAGGGGCACTGGGCACCCTGGGCGGGACAGGCTGGGGCTCACCTTGGCAGAGGAGGGTGTACTCGGGCAGGTTCCTGAGGGCCGTCTGTACCACCTCGAAGTCCCGGCTGCCCAGGCAGCACATGAACGTGGGCAAGAAGTCCGCTGCAAAGCTGAGAAGGCGCATACTCAGGTGGGCACCCTGGAGCGCCACGGCTGGGCTCTCAGCAGGCAGGGCCGGGACAGGGCCGGGGTCCACAGTGGGGACGCTGGGCTCACCTGGGGTTGTTCTGGATGGAGCGCAGGGCCAGGCCGAAGGCCAGGTTGCGGCAGGGTTCCTCAGCAGAGCTCATCAGCCGCTGCAGGCTGGTCTGCGGGGTGGGGGTGTTACCGGGGCTCCCCTCCTGTCAGGAGCTCAGCCCCTCAGCCCCCAGGCCTCCCGACAGCAACAGCAGAGAGTCGGCAGGGGACCCCGCTCCCCACGCCCCACCCCCACCGCCACGGCCTCAGGACCTGGGGCTGGAAGCACTGGTGGTCCGCAGGCTCCAGCCCAGAGCAGGGGTGGGCTCCCGGCTCAACTGTGAGCACCCGGGGCAAGGCCAGGTCCAGACGCGGGGTGCCCCGTCCCCCCAGCCCGGCACGCTTCCTACCAGAAGGCTGAGGGCTCCCCTGCCCCCCAGCTCGCTCACCGAGAAAAAACCCAGGATCTCAGGTCTCCGCCGAGACATCTCGTCTATGTCGCTCAGAACTTCCAGCACGTCTAAGACAGGCAGAGGGGCAAGTGAGGGCCACGTCACAGCTGCTGGACTCACGGCCAGACCCCTCTGTCCCCAAGCAACCCAGAGGCAGGAGGGGGCAAGCTCCAGAGCCTGTGCTGTGGCAGGACCCCCAGGCCGCACCGGTCCTCACCCCGCCTGCCAGGCAGGGGCAGAGCGAGGCTCCCCAGGGACCCGGTCTCGCCTCTGCACAGGCTCCACAGCAGCGGGACCCCCGGTGCTCCGGCTGCAGTGTGGCCCATCAGAATGCTGGTGCCAGTGCCCTCCGGAAACTTCCACGCCACTTGAATGCTGGGTAAGCCCAGGAGTCCCCAGCACCTCAGGATGAAAAGCACCGGGATTTGGGCTGGCTTCCCAGTCCCACCAGGCCAGCAACCCCAAATAGTCGCTGGTTGACCGGGAGGCTTTCAGAGGTGCAGGCCCCCCAGACCCTTGTCTGGCAGGTCTGAGGAGGCCAGCGATCTGTGCTGGAACCACCTTGCCCAGCTGCGTGTCCCTGGCCTCCCGGAGCCACTCCTCCTGCCAGGCAGCACCCGGCTCCTGGTGCTCCTCTCTGCATAGAGACACTGACCCCTAAGCGCACGCCCACTTCTGGGGGCCGCCAGCACTACGGTGCGCCCAACAGCCCATATTCATGCAGCGGCCCTGCCCTCTGTTCTCCTGCACACTGCGGGCCCTCCCCCTACCAGCCCGTGGTCAGGCTTCCCTTCTGCAGGTGCCCCTCGGCCCCCGGGTTCCCCGATCTCCTGCTGTCTGCAGCCTGCTGCCCAGTGAGACCACCAGCAGAGTAGCCCGCCTTGAGCCCCTGCATCTTCCCCCTAAGGCCTTCTCTGCCCCCCGACCATGAGGAGACAGCCCTGCTCCTCCTGCAACCTGGTAGGGACCCTGCTGTCTTCTGGCCGGCAGGAGCCAGGCTCCCAAGCTCACCCTCAACAGTCTGGCCCCGGGAAAGCCTCTTCATGTAGGGAGCCATTTCTGCTGCCGTCAGGGGCGTGAACAGGGAGACACTGACCAGGGGCAGGGAACCAGCCGAGTTCTCATCTGGAAGCCAGGAAGTCAGTGCTGTCAGACAGGAGACAGCACCACCCGCCCAGGGCCTGCAGGAGCTCCGCTGCGGAGGGGGAGGCGGGGGAGCGGCCGGCCAGCACCCAACACCCAGGGTCCAGAAACCGCCTGTAAGCAAGGGCCATCCCTGCCAAGCAGCCCCCAGAACCCCACGAGTCCAGAAGATGCGGCCACTGCCCCAGGCCTGAGCACGATGCCTGGGACACAGTGGGCACTCAACAAATGTGCAGGAACCATGAGCCCGCTGGGACCTGCCTGGGAGAGAGCACTCTTCCCCCTGAGCCTCTCCCCCGCCTCACTGAGCGTGACCTCACGGCAGGAGCAGCGCCAGCCCTGCTGTGGCCCGGACACGCCACAGGGACACCGGGATGGCCCCGGGGGCTGCCAGGCCTGCAGCCCCTTCCCGGCAGAAGCCCCATGGGTCCCACTCACCGTCGCCCTCCTCGTCCAGGCCCCGGTCAGCTCTACCATCCCTGCTGGGAAGGCTCAGCCCTGCAAGGAGGGACTTGAGCATCACCAGATCACTGCTGTCGAAGGACAGGTCGCTGGGGGAGCACAGGTTCTCCGTGAGGAAGACACCGCAGACGGCAGGCAGGGCGGGGAGGCAGGCGGGCGGGGGAGGAGGCCAGAGCTTTGGGAAGCGTGTTCAGAACAGCGTTGCACAGATGCAGCCCCGCGGCCCGAGCCCCCACCACCCTGGGCTCGGGCACTGCAGGCACCCCCACCTCGGGAGCCCCTGACCCGAGCATGGACGTGCCTCCCTGCAGCCCTGCGGCTGGACCCTCGCCAGATGGAGCCTGTGCGGGCCGGACACGTGTGCACACATACACACACACACTCACTGCAGCGCATCCGCGTGTTTCTGCAGGAAGGACACGGCCGCCGGGGCGTTGCAGGTCACGTACTTGTGGGTGAAGTGCACGAACTTGTGGATGAAGGGCGCCAGGTGGCGGGAAGACTTCCTGTAGCTCTGCAAAGCGGAAGCCGTACGTTCACAGCCGGAGCGCCCCCGCCCTGCCCACCACACTTGCCCGGGTCTCAGGACGGATCGCGGAGGCCAGCAATGCCATCTGCTGGCCGCTGGGCCCTGTGTTTAAACGGGCCTTGCCGTTCGTGAGCCGCCAGTGCGGCCCGGCAGGTGTCTAACAAGCATGACAAAGTGCAACAGCAGTTGGCCGTGGGGAAGGCAGCACTGAGCCCAGTGGTGGCTCCCAGACGGCCCCCCGAAGAACACGGGCCTTCCCCGGGCACATGACAAGCGGGGAGCTGGTCCCCAGGGCGGGTGGCAGAAGCCACTGGATAGGCGGCCTGGCTGGCCCTTGATGCAGGCGCCCCCGGAGCCAGGTCGGGCCCGGGCCGGGGAGCTGAAGGGGGCAGGAGTGGCGGGGGCCTCAGGAGGTGGAGGGACAGGGGCTCACAGGCCTGGGGAGCGTCCCCACTGCCCCGGCAGACGGGGAGGCGGACGCACCAGCAGCAGGCGGACGAAGGAGCGCAGACAGTCCCACAGCGCCCCCTGGTGCTCGTTCTGGAACACCTGAGGCTGCAGCAGCTCCAGGACCCCCAGCACGTGCAGGAAGAAGGTCAGGTGGTTCTGCTGCCGGAACTCCTGGAAGTTGAGGTGGGTGCGGCCGTGAAGGAGCGCAGCGATCATGGGCAGGTGCCTGAGGACAACGGAGAGCGCTCATGGTCCGCTACCCCAGAGACTCCAGCACCCCTGCCAGGCCCCACAGGAAACCCACGCTCGGGGACACGAGACACACAGGCACATCCCGGCCTCCCCACGCAGCCTAGGGCTCGCAGACATGTCCACCTGCGGCCCGGCCACCCTGTCCGTCCCACCCGGTGTTGGGTCTACGAGGTGGTGTTTCTCCTGACCCACCCTCCAGGGCTCTCCCTGGGCCCAGCTCTGGCTCCGTCAGGAAGAAGCCGACAGCCAGAACTGTGCCCTGCAGTCCACACCACAGCTTTTATTAGACGCAGACCCCGCTCTTGAACAAGCACCTGAGAGCCAGCAGGACGTGAGGAACCACCGGAGGGCCTGCTGGGCTTGGGGTGGGAAGGGCCGGCTGGGGCGCCCGTACCTGAGCAGCAGGATGGGGTGGGCCACAGCCAGCTTGCGGCAGGCCATGTTAGCGTCGGCCACTCTGTTCTCCGACGACCGGGAGTCGCTGGTGTCCGCGAGGAGGGTGATGAAGCGGTGGATGAGGCCGTCCAGCTGAGGGGATGGGAGCAGTGAGGGCCAGGGACCGCCCACAGCCCTGGCGTCTCACATGCCTGCCCCACACGGGGCCGAGCCCACCGTGGAAGGGCCCCCGACAGAGCTCAGTGGGGGCAGGGCGCCCCAGGTTCCCTGAAGACCTGGCATGGCCACGGGGTGACCAGAGAAAGCTGTCGCCCCCCACCCCCACCCCGGGCCCGGTGCTTTCTGGGTGCACGTCAAACAGGCCAAAGCCAAAGCCCCCAGACAACCGCACAGACGGTACTGGAAGTCAGCCCCTACACCAGACAAACGCTCTCACTGAACGCCAGATCACTACGTGGATTCACACGTGAAACCGACGTGGTGTACGAAGTGTGACCTCAACTGTGCAAAACGATATGCGTAAAAAAACACAAGGCAACGTGGTCATGAAAAAATAGTACTTCCCGGCATTGTACTGAAAAAGTAGCACATGCTACTCGAGGCCGGACCTCAGAAGTGGGTGCGCAAGGCCCATCAGGCGCGTGCACACCCTCCCTTGCGCACGCTCTCTGTATGCGCCCAAGGGCAGGGAGGGCAGATGCCATGCAGACCTGTGCACGAGCACGCGGCTGCACAGTCTGACGGCCCCGGGGCCCACCGCCAGGGGGCGGGAAGCAGGCTGGTGGGGCCGCACGGTGCGACACCCCACAGCCCAGCCGGGCCTCGGGACCACGCTGAGCAGAAGATGGCCGGCGAGGCCCACGTGCCACTACTGCCCAGACAGAACGCTCCCGCAGCCCAAGCTCCGGGGTGCTCGCCTGGGAGGGGCGGGGGAGTGCGCGGGGACGCCCCGGGCTGACGGACGCGTGAGGAACAAGCCCAGGGGGACACTGGGTCAGATGCCCGCCACCGGGCAACAGGCTGTGCGTCCACAGCGCCTTACGAAGGAGAACCGGGGGTGCAGGCGGCCGGCCCCTCTGCTCCGCTCCACAGCCGAGGGGCTGCTCGAAGGAGAAAAGACCGCTTCAGGGCCCTCCAGGAGGCGCGACAGACGGGGGCGAGGCGCGCTCTGTCCCCCGGCGCCGAGGAGGACGGCCGCCCAGACGCGCCAGCACCGCTCGTGTGTTCTTTTTGGTTCTCACAGCTGAGGAACTGCGTTTCTCCAGGACCTGGTTTGGGCTTGCACCCCAGGAGTAAAAGGCGGGGGTGGTGGCAAGCACCCTCTCGTCAGGGCCGCCCCCACCTGCTGCTCACCTTGCAGGTACTGCTGCCCGTGGCACCTCCACTGTGCAGCAGGGCCTCAGGCACGGGCACCCGCAGCTCCGGCCACTGCAGGTAGAGCTGCACCAGCAGGTCCCGGCAGCGCCTGCCCAGCACGCTGCAAGACACGGGGTCGGGGCTGCTGGGTGGACGGGCTCCCGCGGGCGGCGGCCTGGGGCCCGCGGGTGAGGGGGGAGTCTCACCTGTCGCCCCACTGCTGCATGCAGCCTGTCAGGTGCGCCGTCACCTTCCTGACGCTCTCGTCGTGTCCACGGCAGCAGCTGAGCAGCAAGGGCAGCCGGGCCTGGAGGAGGCTGCAGGCGGCGGCGTCCCCGTCCTGGCTCCTGGCCTCCGCCTCCGCCAGGATCAGCTCTACCAGGCCGATGAGCTCTGCCGCCTGGACCCGCAGCACCAACTCCTCCCGCCGCTTCTGCAACCAGCACCGAGAGTCAGCACCAGGGCAGGCCGACCGGGCCCACGCACGCCGCACCCCACCCTGCCGGGCGCTGTGCCCCAACACCTGCCTGAGGGGTGCGCTGGTCCCTTCCCTGCCAGATCCGTGGAACGTGGATGCAGGCCCAGAGGAAGTCCAGAGAGGCTGAAGGGTCAAACCTGCAAGGACGGGGGAGCTTTGCCTCAGTTTCCAGGCGGGATGAGAAGAACAAAGCGTAGGACAAACCGCGGTGACGCCAGGTTCAGGCCACAGACGCCACTACCCCATCAGCTCTCTAGGAGCGGCCCAGGTCAGCTGTTTGAGAACGTGGGCCGCGCTGCCCCGCCCCGCCTGGCGTCCCCACCTCACACCAGCAAAACCAACACTGGCCCCGCTCACCCTCCGGGCCTGCTGGCCACACAGAGGGGGCATTCGACTCCCCTGCATTCAGCGTGGACAAGAGCCACAGACGCCATCGAGGAGTGGGCCGTCTGCCCTGGTGGTTGCCCAGAGCAGGCTCACTTGGACCAGGGGGGTCTGTATCCCCACGGTGGTGACAGCCACTGCAGGAATCCCTCCCAGGGCGCCAGTGAGAGGAACGCTGGGTCAGATGCCCAGAGGGCCCCTCGATGCTGCCGCCAACCGCCTGGCAGGGTGCGGGGAGGGGTGCTCACCTCTGCTCCCGGTTCTTGCCCAGCAGGATGCGGATACACTGGTGCAGCGTGGACCAGCTGGACTGGTGAGTGAGGAGGGCCAGCAGGTAGGGTCGGAAAGATGGCACCTGAGGGCCGGGATGACCTTTGCCCTGGGGAGGAAGAACACTGGGGATGGTCCCTGCTACGCTGATTGGCCACCTAGCCTCGAGCCACTGGAAAACAGAGGGAGAGGGATGTTTCCAGAAAGACCCAGAGCTCCTGCCTGGAAGGCAGCCCTGGCAGCCCCTGGACCACGTGGGGGCCCAGCTGGGGCGCGCTGTAGATGCAGCGTGTGCTAACCCGAACCAGCTCCTCGGAGACAGCAAGTGCACGCGAACAAAGATGACCAACAAACCCAAATCCCCAACTCCTGCTCCCTGAACCCCCCGAGTCTTGTCCAAAGGCCACCGGCCATGGAAGCACCTTGGGAGACCTGGGGACACTGGAAGGTGATCGGGGGTCTCTGAGACGCCCAGTCCCTCCCCACAGGGCCCCACAGGCTCCTCGGGGGACCCATCCCCAGCGGGGTGCCAGTCTCCACTCTCCACGGTGCCTCTCGTCCCTGCAGGAGACCCTGGGCCGCAAAGTGCTGGTCCCCCTCCTCCCCGCCTGCCCGAGCAACCAGATCCGGCCGCTGCAGTGACTGGTCACTGGGGACAAGACACCCCTCCGGGCCAGTGAGAGTCGGGCCCGGGCTTCTGCCGAAACCAACACAAAGAGACTGTCCAGGCAAGGGCTGCCGCGGGACTGCGGCATCCACCACCCCAGGTTAGTGCTGGCCATCGGTCCTCGGAGGGGAGCACAGCCCACCTTGCTCCGGGAGAAGAGCAGCCTCTGCTGCAGGTCAGGGCAGCTGCTGACCACCTCGGGGTCTAGCATCTCCAGCCAGTCGACAAGCAGCCCCGAGCAGGGTCCCAGCTGTACGGCCTCCGGGCTGCAGGGAAAGCAGGGAGGGCTCAGGAACGGCCAGCCAGGGCCGCTCCCAGACTGGCCGCGGCCCCGCCAGCTTACCTGCAGCCGTCGGCTTCCGGCTCCCCTGGGGCCGGGGGCTCCTTCTCCTGCAGCAGCAGGGAGCTCACCACGGTGACGGGCCGCAAGGTCGGGGACGTGGGGGCAGGGGCCAAGAGCGCAGCCAGCAGCTCCTCCAGGTGAGGGGACCCCACCTCAATCAGACCCTGGAGGACTGCAGGGAAACAGCGGGCTCCACGTCACTCCAGCGCGGGGCGCAGGCAGGCAGGCAGGCCCCAAACCACCAGACTCCAGAACAGACAGCCCCTGGGCCCCCCAAGGCCAGCAATGCCCCTGTGTGCCCAGGCCAGGGCGGCCAGTGGTGAGCTGTGGCTCGGCCTCAGTCTATCCCCGGGGTGGGCTCACCGCACACGCACAAAACCCCAACAGCAGAGCCCAGGCCAGGGCTACGTTGCTGGGGGTGGGGCCTTCCTGGCTGACTGCCACGCCTCTCCACAGGCCCCATTTTGGGGGCACCTGGGAGACAGACCTCTGCGCTCTGCAGCCAAGCTGGGGGGTCCTCACAGTGCCCGGCCCTGAGGTACCTTTGCCGACAAGCTCGGGCTCCACGCCACACTTCTCCCCTGACTTGAGGGTGGTGACCACAGCCCGGACGGTGGAGCTGACCACCTCTAAGTCCCCTCGGAACGCCAGGGCCTCGGCTAGGCGCAGGAGCCCGCTCCGCACTGCAGGGAAGCATGTGTGTAAGCCAGGGGACAGCCCTCTGTCCCCACTCCTGTGGCCTGCCCTGTGCCGGGAGCCCCCAGGCCTCACGCACTTCCCACCAGGGATCCTACTTTGCTCCCCAAAGCCCTAGCTTTCCAACCCTCGGCCACGTCCACACTGATGCCCATCCGGGGCCCACAGAGCCCAAGGGCTGACACCCCTGTAATAACGAGGCTAACGCTCCCTCCCCACTGCCGCTGGGGGAGTGGCAGCAAGCCGGCGGGCCTACTCCCCAGGAGTCGGCCGGCCCTCACCGTCGCTGATCCTGTGGCGCGCTGAGTACTGGGCGGCGAACAGCTTGAGCTGGGCCTGCAGGGGCCCCCCCTCCCCAGCGGGGCCGTCCAGCCACTGTAGCGTCTGCATGAGCACTTTGAGGAAGAGTGACGAGAAGCCAGTGTCCTGGGGCACACAGCGCTGTGGGGATGACCCGCAGCTCAGCACAGGCGTCGGGACCAGGGCGGGGCCAGCAGAGAGTCTCTGGCCATCGCGCTGCCCGGGTGCGCCAGGGCCTCGGACGGATCCTTTCAAACCCCACGGCTATCGAGGACCCACCGTCGTGCAGCTCGGAAAGAAGACACCCCACGTACACACACAGACACAAACATCGACAGGTTCACGCGTTCACAGAGAAGCAGATACGGCAAAACTACAAAGTCCGCGGCGCACGCGTGGGCTGGGAGCGATCCCCAGTGCCGCCTCCTGTTCACTGGAAAGCTGCAGTAAACAAAGGTGGGGTCTCCGCACCCAGCTCCATAGGGGCCTGTTTCCTCCGTCCCTGAGACGCCACACACCAAGGCCCACAGACGGACAGAGCTAGGATGCTTGGCGGAGCCTGGGACGGCTGTGGGTGGACGCGAGGCCCTGGAAGATGCGCAGCGGCCCCCCCTGCGTGGCCCCCCGCGGACCCCGGGCTCTGCCACGCACGCACCCACCTGGTACTGGCACAGCTGGCGCATCAGAGGGCAGGCGAGGAAGTGGCTCCGGTGCATGGACATCACCAGGGCCCCGCTGTGCGGGGAGTTGAGCAGGGTGGCGATGGCCTGCAGGAGGCGCACAGTGACGCCTGTCACCTCGGGGCTCCCCTGACGGACGCGGGCCAGCTCCTGGCCCAAGGCCTGCTGCAGCGCGAGGGCAGCAGGGCGGGCGCTGGAGCTCTGCCACCGCGGGCCTGGGCTCAGCGGGAAGATCTGCAGCAGAGTAAAGGGCAGCGTCAGGAGGACGTGCTCGGCAGAGGTGGGCCCACTGCGCCCGGCGCTCGCACCACGACTGCTTACGCTTGGTTGGCCAGACTGTGCCAGGGTGCCGCCGGCAGCCCCCCATCCCTGCCGGATGCCCCAAGGAGGCACAGAGTGGGTGCCCAGGACTCCTGACGGGGGCCTGCACGGAAGCCCCACTTGGGTGAGACTGCAGGCAAGCCCACCGCCCTGCAAATGTCGGCCCCTCCGGAGCAGGACCCCGACCCCAGAGGGTGCGCACAGACTGCAGCTGGAGGGTAAGGGCAGGGCCCCTCCCAAGCACGGCCCTGGGACTCCAGAGAAACCCACTCGAGAGAAAGCGAGCGTGCAGGTGCAAGAGCAGGGAGAGACATGCGCTCGGCAGCGAACGTCACCGGGTGAGGAGGTGAGCACCCACACGGAGGACCCCGGGCTGCGGGCTGCACGTGAGCACGCGCGTCGACGAGAGGTGGAAGCACGGGAGCGAGCACTCATATGACTGTTCTAAACGCACGACTCCGGACAGGCTGAAGGTCGGGGACCGTCCGCTCTAGCGGGAGCAGCACCCTCGTCGGCAGAGCAAGTCAGGACTCTGCTTGCGGCCGACGGCTTGTGCCAACTGGGCCAGTCCCACAGAGGCCTGGCGCCTGCGGGCACTGCCCTCAGAGCGGAACACAGTGGACAGCCCAGCTGCAGGGGCTCTGTTACAGCCGCCGTCCCGGGTGAGCGCAGCGAGGCACGCGGCAGGTTAAGCAGCTCATCTGCGGTCGCCCTGCTCTGGCCGGGCCACTCGCTCCAGAGCAACCCCCTATGTGGATGTGGAGTTCCGGGGTGAAGCCCCTACCCGTCTGGGCCCGGCACCCCACTTCTGGAGAGACTGTTCCAGGCAGCCACGTCAATACCTGCAGGAGCATGCTGGCCAGGTCGTCCTCGGGGGCAAGCTCCCGCACCTGGGTCACAGCCCGGGTCCGGCCCTGGCCCGAAGGCTGCTCCGGGCTGCTTTTGGGTTTGGGCACCTCTGCGCTGTCTGCAGAGAAAGGGGAAGAGGCTTCAGCTGATAACTCTTCCTGGCCAGCTTCCAGCGGGGGACGGCACCCCCCAGGCACCCCCACCCTCACTCGGGCCTGCTGGGGTCCACAAGGAGCAGGGCCTTTACACAGGAAGCCGGATGCTGGCCGGTGATGACTGTGTGCCCCGGGGCCTGGGGAGGCCCCACGGTGCCGTGGGCTGAGCTGTGAGGCGGGGGGACGGGCCAGTACCTCGCCGCGGGGGCAGGGAGGCCGTGAGCAAGGAATGGAAGGTCTGGCCTCCAGACGCTCCTCTCTCGTGCTGAACTTCAACCAGGTGAGCCATGTAATCTGCGAGCCAGCAGCCAGCGGTTAAACACCCGAGCCCCGAAGGAGCGAGAGCCTCCCCACCCCCACAGAAATCTGTGCTGGGAACACCGCCCCCGGAACACCCCAGCACAGAGTTTCACAACCTGAACTACAGGATCTTTTAGCAAAGAACCAGGTCGTGCTGAGCACACCCCTGTGGCTCCTTCATCCTCAAACCCCAGAGCGCATACGGATGCTGGGGACGCGCTGGGACAGGGCAGCCCGGCCTCTCCTGAGCGTTCCAGGCTTGACATCCTGCCGGGGTGCCCGCCCTCAGTGCCCCTGCCCCCAGACCATCCCTGTTGCTCGTGCTGGGCCCGAGGCACTCGGTCGGGGTCTGCAGAGGACGTGAGGACCCCGCGTCTTACTCTTGTCCATAATGTTCTGCTCCAGGGTCTGGGGGTCATGGGCTACCGCCTGGTCCAGGTACTGGAGGAGTTTGCTCATGCTGGACACGGGGATGCCAAACGACTGCACAAAGAGCAGCAGCTGCTGGGGCTCCAGGTCCTGCAGGGCTGAGAGTGACGCTCACTCGGTCACCCCTCGCTCCGGGCCCCGGGCCCCTCCCTGCCCCAGCAGGCTCACCATCACTGCTTGGCTCATAGCCAGCTCCCCCACCCCACTCCCTGAGGCTGCTCCTTCCCTCTCGCCCCTGAGCTCCCCCAGAATCATCGCTAGCTCCCTATGGCTTACAAGGAGTCCAGCTCCTTAGAGTGTGCCCTCCCCCGAACTAACCCCACCGTGCACCAAACTGCCTCCCAGGCTGCCCTGCACCTGCCCAGGTGCTACCCGACCGGACACCACACTGGCCACTGTGGGAACAGTGCTCCTCCTCAGGCAGGCCACCCTGCTCCCACTCCATCCTTCCAGGACCAGCACAGAGGACCCGGCCCCTCCCTCTCCCCTCGAAACTCTGTCCTCTGGTACCGCTCGCTCCCGTAGGGCCCCTCGGCTCCCGCCTGACTGTGAGGGGTCGGTGGGCAGGGGCAGTGCAGCGTGGTGCTCGCCCCAAAGCCCAGCACAGCACTGGGCGCAGCGAGGGCCCCAAGAGCACCTGCTGGAGGACAGACGCCCTGGAGCCTACAAGGCTGCCGAGCCGTCCTCTCCCACGTGCCATGGTGGGAACGCCCAGCTCATCGGGAGGCGTGAGTCCAGCCCAGCCCCGTACCGGCGTCTACCAGACGAGGGACTTCCGAGCGGATCATGCGCAGCTTCAGCCAGTCGGGCAGCAGCAGCGCCTCCTCGGACGTGTCCACTAGGAAGGCCGTGGGCAGAGGCTGCTTCTCCGGGAACCAGATATCCAGCAGAGCCTGGAACTCGCCGTCACCAGCTTCGGGACAGACAGTGTGGTAAGCGGCAGGACAGCTCAACGAGGCGACCCCAACCCCCACAGTGAGAAGCTCCCGGCCCCGCGAGGGACCGAGAGCCAAGGCTGGAAGACCGCGTCTCCTTACTGTGTAAGGCCAACGGAAGCTTCGTGGGAACAGGAGAGGAAACCTGTGAGCTATCTAACCCCACGATTCCAGCGGAGGGCACACGGGTACTCAGAAGCTGGCCAGTCCGCCTCGGGGGACTGACACGGGCCAGCACTGTCCCCGGGCTCAGCTGAACTAGCTCCCGTCCTGTTCCCGAGCTCCGGAGACTGCCCAGGGCTGACGCGAGGCCAGCCTCCCCTCATCGCCCGGGGCTTGTGAACGCCCATCCTTCTGAGGGGGAACACCCTCTTCCTTCCCAGCGGCGCCCCCACGGCACCTATCCCAGCGAGGGGCCCCGCCTTCCCCTCGCAGACACGAGGACGCGGCAGACCACCGGGCGGCCAGCCAGGCAGGGCTGGAGGGAAGGCTGCCGGGCCGGAGAGGGCGCAGCCACCCAGAGGGACACAGCTCACGGCCAGCAAGTGGAGCGCCCGTGCAGAGGAGCTGGGGCTCACAGCTCTGGGGCTTGGGGACTGCTCAGCAGGCAGCCCCACCGACACTTCTACCTCCAGAGACCCAGAGTTTCACCGGCTCGACTGGCAGCGCCAAGAGAAGCCGACGCAGCAAGGCATCGGCTCCTGACGCCATCCACTGCGGGCCAGGGCAGCGCGGAGGTGCTGGAGACCGCAGGCTTGTCAACCTGAGGAGCTCCACAGCTCCCGAGATCTCTCCCACCACGCCCTCTCGAGGACAGGCGGGGAAAGGATCCCGCCGCCACCCTGCGGGGACCTGCTCAACCTGCCGGTGGGCGCAGGCGTTCTTCCCGCTCTGTGGGCTCCCCCCCGGCCCCCACCCCCGGGGAGCTGGAGCTCACGCAGTGTGAAGACAGACTGTGGGCACGGACCCCGGGACTGCCCCTCGCGCACCCACAGGCCACTCACCACGGGGTGGCCCCAGTGTCAGGAGGATGACCATGGCGTGGACCACCAGAATGTGCATGGTGGCCGTCTCCCCGCTGGTCCAGCGAAGGAAGACCTGGTCCTGGGACTCCGACTGCACGGGAAGGAGGAGGGTGGCTGGGCTGTGCCAGGGTGCCGGGGGCCCGACCCGGGGAGCGGCCGCCAGACTCACCCAGCTGTACACCTCCTCCCCCTCCTTGCTCTTGCGCATGCGCCTCACGTAGCGAGAGAAAATAGAGAGCAGAGCGACGAGCACGGCGTCCGACTCCGCGCTGCAGGAGCGCTTCGAGAACAGGTGGGACATGATGGTGGAGCGCTCCACGACCAGCCGGGCCACGTCCTGGGGGCAGTGAGCACGCCGTCAGAGGGCCTCCCCTGCCGGCCCACGCCAGGCCGACAGCCAGCAGCAGCCCACCACGAGGCCGCATCATGTGAGCTCACATGGCCACGGCCAGGGTCACCGAGACCCAGCGGCGCGTGGTGGGAGCGCCGACAACGGAGGGGGCGCCCTTGTGCACACACGGGGATGCAGACCACCAAGCAGGCTGGGCATGGCAGGGCGAGAAGTGACACAGACGCCCTGAAGGCGGGGGGACACCCACCTGGCCCCGTGAGCAACAGGAGCTCGCCCTCCTCAAGACCCAAAGAGAAAAGCCCACAGCCACACATGTACTGACCTGAAACCCGCAGCCACAGTGCTGGGCACACGGGCCACGGGCCGTCCCCAAGCTGGCCGCCAGAGCAGACTCGGGCGAGGCGTCAAGGCCTGGGCTGTCGTTCCCACCAAGCCCCCCAGCAAGGAACCCACACGCAGAAAGAACACCACCTCCAGGGGCCTCTAGCTGCCTGCATCCCACAAAGCCCAGGGCCCACAGGAGCCGCGTGAGGTCAGGGCCAGAACGCGCAGACAGGACAGCAGGGCCACAAGAAAGCCGACCAGGAGGGCCGGTGAGGAGGAAGCGGCCGCGCCCGGGGCCCCACCGCCCACCCTGAGTAACGGCCACCTGGAGACCTGCCAGCACACACCGGGGTTGGCCCGGCTCCCCACCCTCCCCACCCTGAGACAGCGGGCCCAGGGGTGGCCACACTCCACCTCACAGCCCAGGCACCATCACCCAAAGATGGCGACAAAGCCGGCCAGGCCTCGGTGACCCCAACGGCTACGCCCACACCAAGCACGGCTGGACCCTGGTGCCCTTGACACTGATTGTGGGCAGAAGGTCCCAGGGGAGTGAGCGGGGGCACATGCAGCCCCGGCCCCCAGCCCCCAGCCCAAGGGGCTGCCCTGCCGGCCCTGCCCAGCCCCGCCCCCTCACCAGTGCCAGGTCACTGTGCTGGCCCTGCTCCTCCACAGGTGTGTGCTGGGACAGGTACACCAGGTAGGCGCTGACGGTCTGCGGGTCAGTCTCCATGTGGATAGCCTGGGCACAGAGGGCCATGTGAGCTCTACCTGCAGGCCAGGGCGCCCCCCCCCCCCCCCACCACCCGAGCCGTCTGCAGTGCCCCACCTGCTGCAGCGCCAGGGCGGTGGTGGGCCGGACGCTGTCGAACAGAGGCAGCCGGGGCAGGTCCCGCAGCAGCCACTGGTAGCCGCGCAGCGCCTCTGGGTCCCCCGGGTCCTCCTCCATCGGGGGCTCCTTCTCCTCCCCATCCCGCACGCTGCCCTCCGACAGCACCAGGGACAGGCCCTGCAGGCAGACATTCCCGTGCCGCGTCTCGGCCCGAGCCCCCACGGGGGTCTCAGGGGACAGGCACGTGGGCTCACAGCCCCGGGAAGATGGGCGCTGCCCAGCCAACGAGGACACCGCGACCTGTCACAGATACTTGAGCCGACGCAACACAGAGGGAGCGTGAGCCGGTTTCAAATCGCCCAGCACCACGGAGGACCGGGCAAGACCGGTTACGAGGCCGCCGAGTCCCTCTCGGGGTCTGGCTCTCCCAGACAGCACCCCTGCCACCCCTTCAGCCCCCGGAACCAGCTGGAAAGAGCGCAGGGGAATACATGCCTGCGTGAGGTACGAGGGAGGCCCGTGCCGGGGGGCGAGGGCGCGGGGGGACAAACGGGCCTCACCTTCATGGCCAGCACCCTGGAGGCCACCTGGGAGGAGCCGAGGCGCCGCAGGAAGTAGTCCAGCACCTCGCACGTGGTCTGCTCGTCGGCCTTGGGGCCCAGCAACAGGTCCTGCAGGCGGCCCAGCAGCTGCCGCTGCTTCTGCTGCCTCTGCAGGGGCGAGGGAGACCCCCGGTGGGCCTGGGGTGGGGGAGCGAGGACACGGCACCCCGGTGGGCCTGGGGCGGGCGGCGAGGACACCAACCTGCCGCTTCTTGGCCTTCTGCTCTTTGCTCTCGCCCTCCTCCTCCTCCTCCCCGGAGGTGGCGTCGTCGGCCGCGTCGTGCAGCAGGAACTCGCACAGGCACTGCACGGGCAGCACGTCCAGGGAGCCCTCGCTCGACTGCACCAGGTCGGCCAGCCAGGGCATGGACTGCGAGGAGGCCTGGGCCGGCGACACGCACATTCAGCCCCTCCCAGCGGGAACCTGCCACGTCCCCTGCCGCGACCCGTCCGCCCGCCACCCCACGCTCCCGCGGCAACAGGTCAGGGCCACCACTCGCCTGCTGACAGTTGGCTACAGCCAAGGAGCCTGTCCTCAGTGGCCCTGTGTCGCGGGGTACCCTCTCCTGGCCACGGTCTCACTTAAGGCCAGAGCCTGTGGACGCCTCGGCCAGGCCCCTGCCCCCTCACCCCCCGCAGACGCCTCTGCCAGGCCCCCGACCCCCCAGCCCCTGGAGCCGCCGGGAACTGGCCTGCCTCTGGATAATGTTGAGGAGAAAATCGGGGCTTCGGCTCCGGCACAGCAGATGCCCGAGACGCAGGGACTGGTTGAGGCCTTTCACTTGGTCCAGGATGTGAGGGGGAGGCCTCCGAGGGGGTCCTCTGAAGGTCCCAAAGGACACAAGCGTGTTAGGAAGCCACATGTGCACAGAGTCCCCGAGTAACAGCAGCAGGTGACGGCAGGGAGACTGCCTGTGTCCCACCTGAGGCAGCCCCCCACAAAGGCCCGGCAGCCCCTCTGCCTCCCCGGTTGCTGAGTGCACCCAGCTCCGCGGAGAGTCCCAGGGGCCTCGCCCCCCCACCCTGCCACTGCCCACTCAGGCTTGGCCCCGGGACATGGGCAGAACATACTGAGGGTCCAGGCTGGTGAGCTGGGACAGGAGAAGGCTGCTACTCTCGGTGATGGTCTGCTTGGTGGAAGCCGCCGCCAGATGCCCCTCGAACGCCAGGATCTCCTGCTTTTCCCGCTGGGAGGTCTGCAGCTCCCGATTAATCATCTCTGTCCGGGTCTCCTCGTCTGTCAGGGTGCACGGCGGGTACGAGTAGTTGCTGGGGACCGAACAGGAGGAACGTGCTTTTGTGCCCATCTGAGGCGTGCAGCCACCAGACAGCAGTGCACGGGGTCCAGGAGGGTCACAACTAAAGCCCCGTGCACAGCCTCAGCCGCCAAGCGCTCCAGGGGACCTGGCTGGGCCATCAGCAGTGCTGCCAGGTCGGGGCCCTGGGAGGAAGCCCCTGTGCCCGGCAAGCCGCTCTCCCTCCACAAGACAGCGCACTAGCCACCTCCAGAGTCAGGCCCAGTGGGCACCAGAATCCTGGATGCCTGCTCACCCAGGGCTCCCTGGGCCAGAAGCCCCTTGCAACAGGCAGGTGTCCTGGCCCATAGGGCATCCGCAAGCAGACCAGCTGCTCCGCCAAGCCACCCAGCTGTCACGGGCTCGGAGAGCAAACCCACCACCGCTCATGGCCACTTTGTGTCAGACCCATCCTCCGGGCCCCAACGCCAGCCCACTGCATCAGCCACGGGTCCAATGGGAGCAGCTGTGGCTCCAGCTTCCCCTCACACACGCCTGTGCAGACACACGGCCAGTTCCCGCCCAGCACGGCCTCACAGGCACACACATGCGTATGCGCGTGCCACGGCCTCAGGCCCTGCTCCATCTCAACCACGGCTTTCTGCGTGGTCACCCTCGCTGTCCCTCGGGAACGTGCTGGCAGATAGACCCAGCTCCCACTCCGACGACTGGCAGGGAGCGCGTCACACGCACACTGGCCACTGGCTCGGCTCCTCAGGAACATGCGTGGTGGACATCAGGGTGCAGTCACCCAGCCCAGGTGTCAGGTACCCATGCCCACCGCGTAGCACGGCGCCCCCCGCATGGACCCCAGGCAGCGTTCACGTTTGCACTCAGTCCGCCCAGTGCCTCGTCTCTGTGCAGCTCCACCCGGCCACACCCCCTCACTCAAGTGCCACCCGCCGTCCGCTGACCTGCCCCCACGACCCCACCTCAATCCCACTCCGTCCTCACCCGCAGGAGAGGGCATTAACATGCGGCAGACCCAGCCGGACTGGGCTGGGTCTTCTCTCTCACTACGAGAAAGCGAACCCCGGGTGGCTACGCGGCAGGAGATGCTTTGGAGCGAGTTGGGGGCTCTGGGTCTACTCTGATCCCCAGCGTCCACGGACGGGGCCTGCCCTCGGGGGCCCTGCTCCCAGCAGTACGTGTGCTCACTTACTTGGTCATCACCATTTCCATGAGCATCTTCAGCGTGGGGTACTCCTCCCAGGCAGCCAGGCCTAGGGAGCAAGGAGACAGTAGGTGGCGGCCAGAATACAGAACTCCCGCCCCGCCCAGTCCCTGGCCAGGCTCCACTCTGGGTCCCAATAAGCAAGATGCCCCGACCGGATGTAAGAGCAGCACGCAGCACAGATGACCACGAGCTGTCGGGGGGAGGCGCACCGATATTCTCGGGGTTGAACGCTGCGACCACCAGCAGGAGGGGCCACGCCTTCCAGTAGAGGGTGGAGATGGCCAGGTTCGGAGGCTGGTACCTGAAATGCAAGGACACTAGGGCGTGGCTCGGCCTCGGGGGTGCGAGGCAGTGACGGGAATGAGTCCTGATCAGGTGGAATGGCCCAGAGACGATTTGGTGATGGACCAACGAGGGGACTACTTCAAAGATCGAAATGTGGACACCTGGGCCTCCACAACCCCCGGATCTGGTCGTCCAGCAACATCGGCGTCCCCAGGAAGGGCACTGTGGGCACCGCTATGCTGCCCAGAGCCCAGCACCGGGACTCGCCACCCAGGTCCCTGAGCCGGCTGACCCGGGCCTGCCGTCTACAAAGTGGGAACGAGGGTGGTCACGACGTGAAACCTCAGTGTTCCTTTTATTCTCTCCCCAGAAAGCCAGAAACAGCCCTCTATCCACCCGCCCAAAATGTACCACTGCCACCATGATTTTAAGAACCACGTTTATGACGCACTTATGGTTAAAGCGCATTTCTTTCAGGTGATGGGACATTCCAGAGGATGAAACAGAACACCGCTGTTGCAAAGAACAAAGGAGATCTGAGAAGCCAACTTGGAGAGATGAGCAAATGGGCTGCCACGTGAGAGAGTGCAGGTCGGGAAGCAGAGCACGCACTAACAACCCAAAAGGGCAACGAAGGCAACGGGCAACGAAGCGGATCCTGGGCACGAAAAATAGCAGCAGAAAGAAAAAGATACTTGGGTACAAATGTAACACAGAACGCGTGAGACTAACCCACGAGAAGCTACGGGACGATGTTGAAAGAAACAAAAGACCTAAAGGAATGGAAACCAGAGCCTTAATATTGTGACCGTGGCCACACTCCCCAAACTCATCTGTGGAGCGATACCCATCAAAAGTCCACGGGGCTTTTCTCTAAAAATTCTCCAGAAGCTGACCCAAAAATTCATGTGGAAACGCAAAACAGTCTTGAAGAACAAAGCTGGAAGACCGCTACTTCCCAATTACGGAACTCAGCACCACCCACAGGTGTGAAGACAGTGGTACGGACGTGAGACAGACACACAGACCAACAGACAGAACTGAGAGCCCAGAAGAAAACCCACACATCATCGTCACCTGATCACCGACCAGGGTGACAAAACCTGCAACGGGAGAGGGAACAGGGAACAGCCTTCAACGCACAGTGCTGGGCCCACGGCCACGTGAAGGAGAATGAAGTCGGACCTCACGAGCTAAAACTCTCAAGTGCTTAGGAGAATACATGAGAGAGCTCCATGGCCCCGGGTCGGCCACCAGAGCCACGCAGCAGCACAGTGGCCCACGGGGTCACGTCGTCAGTGCATCCCCGCATGGAACAGAGCAGAGGGCCCCAGACAACCACGCGTGCGCGGTCAGCAAACAGCGCTGGGGCAACGGCTCATCCACCTGCAGCAGAGTGAACCTGGACCCAGCTTCTCCCTCCACCCACAAAACTAGCTCGGGGGATCAAAGGCCTAAGTTCCAGAGCTGAAACCGTAAAACGCAGAAGTACCTCTTCACGATCTCGGATGAGGCAGTAGTTCTTTAGAAATGACACAAGAGGACGAGAAACGGGAAGAAACCAGAGGAGCCGGACTTTCCAGGAACTAAAGCATTTGTCTCTCAAAGGCTCAGAGGGCGTGATCAAGAGCCAGGGATGACAAGCCGCAGGACATGAAAAACACGTGCAAATCACAACCTGTTCGGGGTCTAGACCCAGAATCTGTAAAGAACTCCCAAAACCCAGCAACAAAAATCCACACCACCCAATTTAAGAAGGCTCAAAGAACTGGGACAGACATCTCTCCTGACAAGACAGACACGTGGCTGAACAGCGCCGTCGGTGCTCAGAGAGGTGCCCGTGGGGGCCACAGCGCGACATCTCCACACACCCGCCAGGACGGTGAGCGCAGGAGACACGGGCGTGGTGAGGGCGCGGTGGGCCCTGCTATGAGGAAGTTGGCAGTGCCTCAGTTAACCCTGTAACCCCCCCACCCCACGTCCAGCCTCACAGGCATCTGCGCCCAGCGCAGGGCACCGCGGCCGGCAAGCCACGTGGAGGGAATGGGTGTAAGAAGGCAAGGAGCGCCTTACCCGGGGGGGGAGCTGGATGTTCTCCGGGTGGTGGTAGGTGCACAGGTTCAGGACCGCGTCGATCAGCTGGATCCTCTCCACCTTCAGCACTTCCACATCTGAAACCCGAGAGCCACACGGAGCTTCCAGAAGCCCGTTCACATGCGCCAGGGGGCCCCGAGGCACAGGGTTCGGGATGTGGAAGGACGGCAGGCAGATGGGGCCTTGCTCTCCAGCAGCTGAGGGGCACGGGGGGACGGACACGGGCGGCCCGAGCAGGGCGGGGGCGCAGACGCTGGCCCAGCAGCGGCCAGAGATGAGTCGCTACCTTGGCGTGAGTGCCGTCCTCAGGACTGCCAGAGCGGCCCTTTAGAGGGGGCAGACCTAGCACCTGCCACGGTGCATCACACGGAGAACGTGCGCAAACCCCAGGGCGAGCTCCAGAATCACCGCCAGAGATGCGCACCTCCTGCCCTATCCCCGATTCCAGAGACCAGTTTGGTCCAGCGAGCAGGGGCTGCAGGACGGAGCAGACCCACCAGAGCAGCCCGAGGGCACGCACGCAGGCGCCCGGAGGGCATCTGCAGGGGTAAGGGCAGCGGAGCCCAGCTGGGGGAGGCCATTACGGGGGGTTGCCCGGACAAAGTCTGGAGGGACCCTCACCATCTGCCTGTACGGCCGCAGCTCGTTTCACCAGGTGGTCGGCGAGCTCCATGGCATCTGCGGGGCCCAGAGGGAGCTCCCGGGACAGCCCGATGACCAGGATGCGCATCAGTGTGTCCTCCAGGATGGGCACCTCCGAGCAGAGGCGGAGGAAGAAACTGCGGGCAGAGCAGGTAGAGGCTGGGCTCGATGCGGGGCTGCACGTGCCCTCCCCACCCCCGGTGCGGGAGAAGCCCCAGCTCCGAGTCTCGACGGGACAGGGAGGAGGGCAGCCATCCCGCTCCCATGCTCTCTTGCTCCTGAGGCCTCCGTGGATGAGGCCTGGCCATGCCAGGGAAGAATGCAAGAAGGTGCGTGACCCCCAGGGGCAGACACACCGGCCGCCGGCCACGACCTCTGAAACCGCCAACACAAGGAGGGGCAGAGAGCACGGGAGGGTAGGAGCCCCGCAAGCCGGATTGGGCACCAGGGACCCAAAGGTGAAAACAGCTGGGAGCCACTCGAGAACACTCAGGAGGCAGGGCCACAACACTGACCCGGGGAGGAAGGTCGCGTGCGTGTGGCTGCCTGCAGGCACAGAGGGAACAGTGAGTTTGAGGGTCCCGTGGGCACGGGCCGGCTGGAGCCCCGGGAGTGGACAGCAGTGCAGGGACACAGCAGGTACCGCACACGAAGACGGGGGGAGGGGCGAGGGAGGGCACAGGGATGGCGATCAGGAAGAACAGACAGAGGTGGGGGCGAGCTTGGGGGAGCCCTGGTGTCCGTGGTGCTCACGGGAGCAGACCCTACACCGCCCCTGTGCACGCGGCAGGCATGCTTACTTGCGGTCACTCTCGGGGGGCCAGTTGTCCCACTTGTAGTAGGTCTCCGGCTGCTCGGTGAAGAGCACCTTGTGCAGGCTGTGGGGGGCAGAGGGGCTGTCGGTGCGGGTGCCCGGGGGGCTCTCCCCATCCCACTAGGTCCCACAGGTGCAGAAGCTGCACACTCCAGCAGGGGCTCCCGGGGAGTCTTCTGGAGCCTCCTGCAACCCCCATAAGGCTGGCACACCGGACCCCAGAGATGATCCCGTGTCCCCTGGCTCGGGGCACATCTCTGGCTGAGAGGCCGGGGCCCAGCGGGTTCCCACACCTGGCACGGCAGGCTCCCGTGGGCGGAGCACAGGGAAGCGCTGCTATAGAAGCAGAGCAAACCGGGCTCGTACCAGTGCACGTAGTCCTTGGGGGCGAGCTTGCTGATGGAGGGAACAACAGTGTGCAGCCACCACACGGCATCCCGCTGGATTGCGGCAATCTGGTTCTGGAAGGACCGCAGCACCTCGAGGTCTGAAAAGGACACGCAGGGTTATGGTGGGCCTGCACGGCAGCCTCCCAGGGTCAGGTGCCAAGGTGGGTGCAGGGACAGGGACCTGGGCATCACAGGGCGCTCTAAGCATCCATCTCTGCGCCTCCTATGGGCTACGGGAGGGACACACAGACGGACACTGACGCAACTGGAGGAAGGCTCAGGGAACTGCGTAAGCCTCCTGTGGGTTGGGGAGATCCTAAACGAAATCCCCAAATTCCAAATGATTTCATTTCTTAAGTTTTTCGTGACTTCGTTAAGGCACTTGAGAGGCCTCTGTAGCCAGACTCCCGGCAGGCTTCGTGATGAGGCGAAGCAGCGGAAAGACCCACCCACCCTGCCCTCCTGCCCTCCTGCCCTCGGAGGCGGGACTATGAGCCCGAAACGGCCCCCAGTGGGCAGATGACCGAAGCAGCCAGCAGGCCCTGGGCCCAGAGAACAGGCAACGGCAACTTCCAGAAGCTCCCTGAATGTCCCGGGCAGGTCCCCCAGGGGATGGCCAGCAGCCTTGGGAACGCCCCCCACCCCTGCCCTGGAGCTGGGTGGTTGTTGGGTTTGTCCCGGGTCCTTACTCTTCTTTTCTCCTTTGTCCCAGGCGGTGCCAGCCTCCTTCACCTGGGCGGTGATGCCCAGCATCATGGCCACGGCCAGCACGTCCGTGATGTGCACCACAAACCGCTCCTGCAACCACAGCCCCACACAGCCAGGTTCGTGTGGGGCAGGGGCCTGCACCCCCGAGGCCCGGCTCAGGCCCCCAGCCCACAAGCAGCCGGCCCTGGAGGACGCCCAGGGAGCACCGTGGCTGGAGACGGCCCACGGGAGGAGGGCTGGGGACCGGGAGCAGGTCGGCAGCAAGGGGCAGACCGCAGAAGGTTCAGCCGACAAAGCTGGGCAAGACCACCCTCCAGAGCGTGGGGCCATCCGCCGACTCAGCCGCGTGGCCCTCAAGACCCTCCACAGCGTGCCCCCGTCCCCCTGCTCGTGTCCTGGGGGTCACGCCTGTGACCTGTGGTCCCGCCGGCTCCAACTCCATCCCACCTCCAGGCCGGCCGGAAGGTCGCCCGCCCGCATGCAGCGATCCCTCCTCAGGCCCCACACAGGATGGACCCCTGGCCGCCCTCTGGGACTGGCCGCCGGCCGCATGGGGTGCCACCCACAGATGGCAGGAGAGGCCGCGGAGCGCGGGAGGTGAGGGGCAGGCCAGCTGTGGCACCTTGAACTCCATGTCCAGGTACTGGGGCTCCTTGCGCTCCTGCATGAGCCCAAGGCAGAAGGCCTGGAAGTTGACCTCGTGCTTGGTCTGCTTGATGATCTCCCGCAGTAGCGCCCGCGAGGCCCGCAGGTAGTCGTCCTTATTGGTCAGCAGGTCCTGGAACACCATAGCCAGGAACTGGGAAGAGAGAGGACACGCAGGGAGGTCACTCCCCACCGCCGCCAGCTCCCCTCCTGTCACAGGCCTGCCGTCAGGGCCTCCCTCGGCCCTTCCGGGAAGACGCCCCTGCCTGGGCCAGTGGCAGGGATGGGCGACAAGGTGACAGCGGAGTGGCAGCGAGAAGCAGCACGACGTGCACCCGCTGCTGTGTGTGCGTCCGAGCCGTTTAAAAGCCTAGCTCGCTTCCGTAACAACACTGGTGCCGTCCTCGGCTCTCCCTTCAAGAGCACCTGGAATCCGGGACCCAAAGGCCGCACCAGAGACGCCGGCCTGGGTTGGGAAAGACCAGCCCTCAGGACGGCAGGACAGGCCTTGGCTGGGAAACAGGTGCCTTTTTGGGGGCTCAGTGCTGCCTGCTCCTGAACGAGCCTAACTGTAGCCTCTGGGGAAGGCGCCCCTGGCAGGGCTGCACCCACTCTGGACCCGACCTGAAGTCAGAAGCCACCGTGTGCTGCTCGCCGGGCCCTGTGCCCCCTCCCAGGGCTTTCTCCACGCAGCTCGGCACCACGCCACCCGCTGCATCCAGACGCCTGGCAGTGCAGGTGACACCACGCCCTCCTCTCCAGCTGGAGCCCCCGCCGTCGGGAGCGGCGCTGCTCTCCCGCGCACACACACACGGCCACCAGGCGCCAGAGCGCCCTACCTTCGGCGCCAGCTCCGAGCTGTGCTGCAGCACCGTGTAGAGGATCTGCATGTTGTTGGGGTTCCGGGCGTTGGAGAGCTCGTTGAAGACCACGAACTTGATGGTGGTGCCCAGGTTGTCCTTGTGTGCGCTCAGCAGCTCCCTGGACACAAGGCGAGCCAAGGGGCACTGGTGCGGACTGCAGCCACCCACCACGCCACCCTCCCGCCCCGCTCGCTCCTGCCCGGGCCGCACCTCACACACAGCATGTAGTGATTGAGGAGAACCTTGGGCTTGAGGCGGATCTTGATCAGGTGGGAGATGACGTCCATGTCCTCAACGCCGTGTGTGTTGCAGTTCATGCACACGGACATCAGCAGGTCCTGGGCTGGCCTGGTCAGCTACAGGGGTCCGGGCAGCACCCCATCAGCCTCGCACGTGGCCCGGCACCCGCAGAGCCCAGGAGGAGGCCCCCGTGGGCACAGTCCCGCCTCCCGGCCCTCACCTTGGGGTTCTGCAGCCACATCTCCAGCCTCTGCACCGCCATCAGCCGCACCTCCTTGTAGCCACAGGTGGAGGTGAGGAGCCGCAAGAGGTTCCGTGAGACGTTGTCGATGGGCTGGCGCCGGTTAAGCTGGTCACGGAGCATGTCGAGGACGTACTCCTCCACGCTCTCCGTGAGGTCGTCGTACCTAGGCCAGAGATGGGGAGGAAGGAAGGAGGGCTGGCTCTTCTCACGGGCCCACCCCGCCGGCCTTCCAGCCACACGCTGGGCCCCGCGGGCAGGGGGCTGCACGGCGTGCCTACCTGGGCATGAGCTGGCCCTCCTGCTCGGGGCTGAGCTTCTCCTCGGCAATCAAGAGCTCTGTCTGGCTGTCCTCCTCCTCCGTGAGGGAAGGGTGAGGGCTGCTCCCTGCAGACCGAGCCACTCGTGGACACACCCCCCCAACTGCCCTGCGAGCACCCACCCCCACCCACAGTGGGCTCCGTGGAGGGAGCCGACCCCAGCCCCTCCCTCACGGACTCTTTGTCCTCTCCCCAGCCCGGCCACCCGGCGTCTCTTACCAGCACTGAGATCCCCGCCGCTGCGCCCCACCTCCCCCTGCAGAAGCATGGTCTTGGGGGGCATCTTGGTGTTAAACGCCGTCTGGATGTTGTCCACGAAGGTCTTGCAGTGTGGGCTGTCCACCCAGATCCGCTCGCCCAGGGAGTCTTCGATGTACACCTGCACGTGACAGAGGTCCACACTCCTGGCCCCTGCCGGGCAGCTCGCTTCTGTCCACCCTCTGCTGCTCCCAAGACAGGCGCTTCCCCAAACGACCTCCCCAGCGACCAGTGCAGGAGACAGACAGCCCGGGCCGTCAGATACGCAGCCTCCAGAGAGAGCACACTCAGGTCGGCCTCCTTTTCCTCCCGGGGTCCAGCGCTCTGCCCCCATCACCCCAAGCAGCGCGGAGGTGCCAGGGAGCCTCCCAGGAGAGGTGGACCCACCTTGACGAAGATTTCCGGCCAGTTCTCATCCTCCTCGTACGCAGCCATGAGTAGGTTACAGGCCAGCACGGACACCAGGCTGTTCCCCTTGGCCTTGAAGTTGATGGAGGCATCCCGCCGCAGCAGGCTACACAGAGCCTGCGAGAGACGGTGCGTCATCAGGGGAAGCGGTGCCCTGCACACGGGGCAGAGCCAGCGAGCTGCCAGGGGAGGTGGCCTGAGGTCGCGGGG